TAAAATATCAAAACAATCAAATAATTTTTTGTGCAAATGAAATTATTAAATTAATATTGTAGGTGGAAAACATAAAACACTATTAAAAAAAATTGAAACATAAATTACATAACTTTAAAAGAAGTATCGATCCTTTTTATAAAAAGTATGGACACTTTCAATATAATATAATGTAATAGGTAAATTTGCAATGCTATCGGTATAAATATACCGGTTTACTTATAAAATAGGTAAATATAAGCGCTACCTATTACATTATATAAGCGCTACCTAGTATGTTATTGTACTTTATAATATTTCCGGTTAAATAATATAACATAACCGGTCTAAATTTTAACCGGTCACTTGTTTAACCGGTCACGCCGTATATTAGCCGTTTTTTAGGCGCCGCACCGCAGAACTACCCCTTTAATCGAGACCTCACTTGAGGAATCAATCTAAAATGTTAATTTATTCTGATATAAAGGTTCATAAATAACTTTCTGATACACCTGAAATTCTAAATGGTCTTGAAGCATCAATATCTGAATGTGTTTTTAGATTCGTTAACAATTAAACCCTTTTAATAGAGACCTCAATTTTGAAATCCGATTCATTTTTGTGTAAGTTCATACTTTATATTCTTGATAATTTCCAATAGCCTTAGAAATTTATATGGATCCTCTAGTGTGTTCCCTACTGACAAAAATGTTTTCTCTAATCTATATAAAGTACACTTTCTGATATATGGTTTCTGATTTCTGAAACAAGGTACAATTAGCTCCTGATTTTTGATATTACTGTCTGTTATCTTATCTATTTTATTGCGGTACTGTCTGGGTATATGTCTGGAGACTCTGAGGTTTAACTAGCTGGTAAATCCTTTCTGTTCTGATCATTCATATTGGACTCCTAAATCCTAGGGGTCTAGGGTAGTTCTTATGGATGACTGTTATGGAGTATTGTATTTGGTGTACAGTTGGAGGGAAACTCTGTATTTTAAATAAAAACCCAACTTATGATTTCTATTTTTTGATATCATTGGTTCTATCTAAAACTATTTTATTGGGGTATTCATTGGGTAAGATCCTGGAGCCTTTGACGTTCAGTTAGCTGGTAAATCCTTTCTGTTCTTATCATTCATATTGGACTCCAAGATCCTAGAGGTCTAGGGTAAGTCCTTATGGATGATGTCCTGGGGAATTTCACATAGAGTAGTAAATCCTTTCTGTTCTTATCATTCATATTGGACTCCAAGATCCTAGAGGTCTAGGGTAAGTCCTTATGGATGATGTCCTGGGGAATTTCACATAGAGTATTCGGATTGAGGGTACTACAGTTATTTTAAAAACTTGTTTTATTAAAATAACTACTACTTCTTTCAAATATGATTACATTTTATTGTGGTTTTGAAGGAACACACTATATGTTTGTTTCAATCTCTGAACATGGTCCTCTGAATGTTTCCTCTGAGCTATAACCTACTTGTATGTTACCTGAAGAAATATCAGTGGAACCTCAGCTCATCACGAAAACTTGTAGATGCTTGAATCAATGAGAAAATATTTTATGTTTGTTATTTATTTGCATGTCCTTCATCATCACTTGATAGTTCTATATTACTGAGCTCCCAAAAGCTCACTCTTTTACTCTCCATTTCAAGTTAAAAGAATCGATCCAGTGCAGCTATCGACTTCAGTAATGGGAGTTCATTCAACTTGGCTTGTAGAGTACGGTACAAGCGTAATTAGGGCATGTATGTCATATTTGATTTTTATACTAAGTCTAGAACTTGTATGATTTTAATTCTATTTGTAATATATGAATGATTTTCTGAACTTGTATTTTATTTATAAAATTATTTTATAATTTTACATGTTTTAACAAAAAAATTAATTTCTCATGGATTTTTATTGTGGGTCGCTCTGGTGGCTCTAATGTGGCACATCAGATCGGATCGAGTCACCTGTATCGGTATGAGGGTGTATCGGTTAGATATTTGGTTCACTTTTTTTTAATTTCTCAAAAAGGTCTAACCATAGATAATGTATTCAAAACTTCTACATAATTTTCAATTATTGAATCTTTTTTTTCAAATTAAATTGAATACAATTATACCTCAGAAATTAAATGTCATGTTGAACCAAATTGGCAAAACAATTACAACAAATGTTCTAAATAAGTGATAACTACTCTTTCAGTCCTTCATTAGAAACCTCTCTTTTATGGTCAATTTAACTCGCATTCAATCCAACAATTCATGTTCTAGATAGGCGATTGGAGACTCGATGATGACTGGAGACTCGACAATCAACTAAATATTGTGATGACGACGGCTAAAGATTAGGGTTTTCTAAACCTTAATTTTTGTAGGCCGAATGGGATTTGAGCCATATACCAAGCCTGAGTTTAATCTAGGCTATTGGGTTATATGGGTATAAAATGGGTCAGCTCAGCTGTTTGTATGTGATGGACATTTACAATTTATTTATAATTGGGTTGTTTTAGAATATTTGGATATTTAATTTGAGTTTTCCTTTTTTTTATTTGAAGTAAATAAAAGTTACAGTGATATAAAATTTATTATGTGGAGGTGACGAGTATTAATACTATATATATTTTTATTGAAACGTGTCCACTTCTCGTAACAAGTTCTAATAAAAATTATATAAGTATATTTTTGGAACTCATCATCTCATGTGATGAGTTTCAATATAAAATATTTTTTAACTCGTTACTTCATGATAAGTTCATCCTCCACTATGATAAATATTGTATATCCTAAAATAAATTTTGACCGCTCTAACACGCTAAATCGAGTTAACTAAATTAACCCCAAGCAAACACCCGATTCAAAACTTCAAGAATCCAAGCTAAACCCATTAAATCCATCAATTCCAGTAACGAGAAACCCAATAATATAATTTGCTCAAACGAACTAAAATTGACCTTTAACCAATCCAATTTAAGATATTCGAATAAAATCAGAGTATTATATTGATATCATATATTTGAATATGTGATACATATATCTTAAAATCAAATTAATATTTATATTCGATTCATTCAAAAAAAAAATTTATTTTATACGATATATATTTGTTATAATTTTAATTACTTTAAATTATTAATAAGATGATTAATTTTATAATTAAAAATTTTGAACAAAATTTATTGTCCACTGATAATAAATAAATAATACATTATATTAAGAAAAGTTAAACATTAACATGAAAATAAATCCCAATAAAAAAACATAAGAAAAAATGACGGTAAATACCAAAATACATAAAGTTAATTGCATCACATGTCTATGTTCTCAAACTATAATTTTTTTTAAAATTAGTTCTTAAACAGTTAAATATTTTATTTTCATCCTTAAATTATTACTCTTATTCTAAATTAATCCTTACAATTTTGAACATTCTAATTTCATCCAAAATGTGTAATTAGTTTCAAAAATAGCTTAACCTAAACTTTTGGGGTTTTTTCAAACATATAATAATATAATTTGGCCTAATGATTTTGTTAATAAGGGGTGTGATTAGTATAAACATATATTTTGGGATGGAATTGGAATGTTCAAAAAGTTTGGGGCCAATTAGAATGAATTTCATAGTTTGCGATGAAATTAAAATGTTCAAAAGTTTGAGGACTAATTTAGAATATTAGTCATAGTTTAGGGATGAAATTAAAATATTTAAACTTTTAAGGACTAATTTAAAATGAGAGTCATACTTTGAAAATATATGATACAGTTAACTCAAGGGTACTATTCATTTATTACTTAAACTATTAATTTTGGTACATTTTAATATTTAAGCTTTCAATTTTTTCCAAAACCATACCAAACGTTTAGTTTTCATTTCATGCTAGTATCTCATCATTAAAAACTTAATGCGTTTAGTATCTAAACTATTATTTTTTGTCTGTTTTAGTATCTAAACTTTTAATATTTTCAAAAATTATTGTTAAATTTTGAACGTTAGTACTAAAATAAAACAAAAATTAAAAATTTTAATGACAGGTGCTAAAAAGAAATAAACTTTAAGTATGATTTAAAAAAATAAAAATTCATGTATTAAAACAAATCAAAACTAATAATTTATGTACTAAATGCATAATTTACCTACTCAAATATATTAAAGCAACCGATATCAACATTACGTGGCGTGTTTTGGTGGAAGGGGCAGCGAGTGGGGGACTAAGAAAAAGAGACGATTTCAATTTGTGGAAACCAGCCTTTTTTTCTTGCACACGTGTCCTATCCTAATTGTACTGTCATGCAATATCCAGCACATCACTATGTGACCGTCACAACATACCAATCCAACCCTCCCCCTTCCTTTAAATTATTTTATTTTTTGGACTCTAGCATTTATCCATTAAAATAATTACGTAAAGTTTAATAAATTAACCATTTATTTAGATCAAATCAATGCGTCTAAACACATCGTTAAAAATAATAATTAATAATTACGATTATGAAGTTTATATGATTTATGTTGAAACCTTCATACAATTTAATTAATCAAAATCGTTTAATTAATTAACAAATAAAATATAATCATTATATCGAGTAACGAATATAAGTTAATATGCACATCCTTAGTTTAAAAGATGTTTTATTAATAATTAGTTAATCTATTAAATAAGATATTAAATTTTGTAAAAACAAAAATTCAAATTCTGATATCCTAAACATAGCTAATTGAATTGGGATGATAAACTGTATTACATGGCTTTATAAAATTTGATTTGGATTAATAGATTAAAATATAAATGATTATATGAAAAATGTTTTTTTAAAAAGACGAAAAGGCGAGTCAAATCCGTGTTGAGTGTCGACCATTACATTTCCCAATCCCGAGTCTCAACTCGGTGGAAAACTCAGTTTCCCTAGTGTCACAGTGTGTTTGCAAGTTGCAACGTGTCCTTTTAGAACCGTTTATCTGACGCCGTTGCGGCTCCAATGGCAGATCCTAAATTACAAATCATTGCCTTTCCTAAGCTTAAAACTCCCAATTTGAGAACGCAAAAAGAAAAATAAATAGGCGATTTGGTTTTCTTTTAAATTGTTATAATTTCTGTAGGTTTGCTTTCTTTGCTTAGTTGATCCTCTTCTCTGCTTTCCACATTTTCCTTCCCTTGTTTTCTCAGTAACCAAACAATAAATTAGGGTTCTTGCTCTGAGATTCAATGACTTATCATGATGGTAATATCAATAGTGAGGGGGGAGAGGTGGTTCCAGAGATTAAACTAAGAGTTGAGGGTGATGATGACGTTGTTAATGGAAAAGGGAAAACTTTGAGACAGCGATTATTAGAAGAATGTGAAGCAGAAGAGAGGGATTTGTTGGTACATGAGCCAGCTTTTTCTTCCATACGGAGAAGGTCTATTTGGTTTTGGATCAAGCTGGGGATTCTATTTACATTTATAGGTTTATTGACTGCTGTTTTCTTCAAATGGGTTGGCCCCTTTTTAATGGATAAGGTTTTTACCCTGAATTTCTGGATTTTGTTGGATCTTTTCTGCACTTGCAATTTACATCACCTCGTATAACTAATTATGTTTTCTCATTTGCATTCTGATCCATGTAGATTCTTAATTTTGAGTTTTGGGGATATGATTTCTTTTTTGGTTGAATTTGGGTTTTTTTTTTTCCGTTTTGTTGATTGCACGTATGAAACTGTCCATTGAAGAATGGGTTTCTTTCCTGTTTTCAGCCTGGGTCTTGCAAACTTGCTCAATTTGCTAATTTCAATCTCTTTGATTTTGAGTGCTGTTATGGGGTTATGGACCTGGTTGCAATTTGTTGGTTGCGATATTGTTATTTGATTTCTGCATATTGGATGCAGGATTTTATGTCAGGGAACGAACTTATAGAATTTTAGGCTGTGCGTGAACAGATTATATTTCAATATAACATATGAAGAAAATTTCTAAAATACCTTCAGGCCATCCCTAATCACATGTTCTATCATTGTATATTATGGTGATAATTGCTGGTTCGTTCTTGAAATAGACTGAAACTTTCTCATTGGTGTACTTAATGTTATAATTAACTAAGCATACTGTTTAATCAGAATTTGCAGGTGACCATGCTTTTATCTTTAAGTTAGAAAATTTCATCACCCTCCGTGGTGATTATAGGCAGGGGGCTCTTCTTTTTAATAGCAGGCTTTTCCTTATTGTCGTTGAATTTGATATATTTCACTGCCTGCTGACAAAACTGTACATTATCTGTTTCTATATCTATCCATCTCTCTCCCTAAATATCCCTTCTTGCCACAGTATTGCACTTCCTATGTTCATTTTCTTCTTAAGCTTCGACAGGGCAACAACATACCCTAGTGGTTCTTTACATTAAAAAGTTTATGGTTTGATAAGTTTTTGTTCAAAATTTGCGCTTTTGGACTATTAATCTTTACTGGAATAAGCATTAAATTTTTACTGCTGGAATATTTGTCTAAGTTGTGCAAACCACAATCTTGCAACTTCAGTGGTCCCAGCTAGTTTTGAAACAGATCGAATGGCCACTTAGATTTGATTCATTTCTAAGATGCAGACAGGGCAGTGTTCACTCAAAACTGTTGATTTTAGTGAGTTTGTATTTATTTTCCATGTTCTTCTTGCAAAGCTAAGGCTAATAATCATTATTTTCTTCAGAGACAATTAAGGATTGTTCATTTATCTCTTCTAGGATATCTTTCCACTTTCTAATTTTACTAACTTGACTGATGACATGATGACTGCAGGAGATAATGCCTCTAATAAATTGGGAGATGAAAACCTTTAGTACTCCGGTGCTGGCACTTCTAGTCTTTGCTTCAGTGGCATTATTCCCCACAATACTCCTACCATCTACGCCATCTATCTGGTTGGCAGGGATGAGTTTTGGTTATGGTTTCGGATTTCTGCTAATCATATCTGCAGCTGCTGTGGGTGTATCACTTCCATTCTTTATCGGCTCTCTTTTCCTTCACCGAATTCAAGTGCGTACTTCATCCTAAGATTTTATTTTTCACCCTTTATTAACTGAAATTTTGCTCCCTGTCTGATTCTGCCTGGGTTTGTTTGCGTGTCTTTGCCAATGTTGCGATTTGCAATGACTTTACCGTTTTCTGTTTTAATGCAGGGATGGTTAGAAAAATACCCTAAGAAAGCTGCCATTTTGAGAGCAGCTGGTGAAGGAAATTGGTTTCATCAGTTTAAAGTCGTAACATTGATCAGGATCTCTCCATTCCCATATATGATATATAACTACTGTGCAGTTGCAACACATGTTAAGTATGGTCCTTACATCTTGGGGTCTTTGATAGGAATGGTGCCAGAAATTCTTGTTGCAATATACACGTAAAATCTCTCTCCGTCCCTTCCCTTTTTTTAGTATTTAATCTCGAGCTTGTGTTTACTAATGTGTTATTTGCACGTGATATTTGATCATTACAACACAGTGTGTGTGCGTTTGTACATACCTTACAAGCTTAGACCATTGCCTGATTCAGTCAGATAAATAAACCCAAAAAATGATGCAAACGAAGTGCATGAGTTGTATTTTTGGGGAGTTACAGATTTGTAAGTTTTCGGTTTAGTAAAAAAAAACCTGAGCTTGCTGTATTAGACGTTAGTTATTGGCAACCTGCAGAGTAGATGCATATATATTGCATGCCTTCTGAACTTTTTTGGGTATTGATCATCGCAGAGGTATCCTTATACAGACGGTGGCAGATGCTTCGCAAGAGCGACAGTCCTTATCGGCTCCGCAGATTTGGTTAAATGTTGGTGGTTTCCTTTTAACAGTGGTGACAACAATTGTTTTCACGGTTTATGCTAAAAGGCAACTAAAAGAGCTGCAAAGTGAAGAAGTGGTATTGCAGTAAGCTGCAGTTTGGTTTAGAGAACAAATATCTCTACCCAAGCTGGATGAAGTCTTATTTATTGAACAACTTCATCCGTATAAGCAAAATGTGCGACAATATTGATCCTATGTAACATGAACAAGGAGTGACACGAAAACCAAAGCAAACCAAGAGAGAATTCACTGCAAAATGTTTGACTTCCATTTATTACAAAAGTTAATTCTCTGTCTCCCCAGCTTATAATTGAGATTTGTATATTAATGGGAATTCTCTATCCAGGAAAGCTAAAAGTGGACGTAGGCAATATTATGTACATGATTCAATGTCATTTTCTTGTTGACTTGCTGAGTATTTTACTTTTTCAGAATCCATGCTTTTATTTTTGGTAACAGAATGGTGCTATCGATGTGTTCATCAATTTATATTATTGTATTGGATTACACATGAGCAAGCTTTTTTTTTTTCTATATTCAACCCTGGGTGACAGGTAAAGAAATGTTTTTATTTAAAAGAGGCTCTTCTGGTTTTAACATCGAATTCCAACCTTAAATAAATGGTGGGACAATTATGTGATCCCCTTTGTTATCCTTAAATCATTGTGAAAGGTATTTCAGGCGGAACTTTCACATGTCCGCGTAAACTTGTGAATCTCTGGAATATGTTCAAGTCTGTTGGAAAATGTTTCATGGGGTACCCCCCTTTTTTTTATTTTACAATGCAAAAGGATTATAGATTTCGATATTCAAACTTCAACTTTACTTGTACATGTTTATATGATTCAAAGTTGTTTTTGAACAAACTAAGTGGAGGATTAGAGTCCAAGACCTTGGACTCCAACTAAGTACCAAAACTCTCAATCAAGCTTTTTTGTCACAAAAGCAAATGGAAGTTAACATAAAAAAAAAAGGTTTGGTCAACATAATGCCCCTTGAGAATGCATACAAGTATAACTCAATTGTGCAGATGTATGGTATTCTGCATTTTAGTACATCTTCTGTTATCTTTGCCGGCATACCGTGAATAGTTAATGGGATATTCAAATCCTTAGATCCAAATGACGATCAGAGAAGAAATATATTGCACAGTGAGGCGTTTCATACTTCTTAACAACTATAATTCTAAGTTTGGATGAGGAGATCCCGAATGGCATTTTGAACTGTACAAGCCTTTTTTAGGCTTGGGGTTCAACATGCTAAATGGGATCATTACAGTTAATATTGTCAATTGTATGCAAAAGTGTCTCAGGCCTATCGTATGAATATGATATTTTGATTATTAGATTTATAGTTATTTTCATAATTTGTATATCTTTGGTATATTAATATATTTAAATATTATTGTTAATTATTCTAAATATTCTTCATCGATTATTATTATAGGAATAATAATAAAATAAAGTTACTATAAAGTTTGATAGATATTCATGAAATGAGTATGTAAATGAGATTTAAATCAAATTTATAATTATTTTTTTAGAAAAAAATATTGGATTGATTTATTTTGAGGTAATACATGGATCAATGTCCTATGTTAATCTTCAACCGTCATATAAATGTTATGTCTTGATATAGTCTAATGTTATTTTTAATCGGATGATTATTAATGTTATGCTTGAACATGACAAAAGTTATGTAGTGAGATTTGAGTGGTCAAGATGTAATTTATCTCTCATGTCATAAGAGAGACATCTCAAGGCCTCTCGATGATTGAGACCGAAAAATGCATGTCCATGCTCAAACGAGTTAATGAAAATCAATTTCATTTGTTTAGTTAATTCAATTGGGTATCGAGAAATTGAAGGTAGAACGATATAAGATTGACATTTTTCTTGCCTTATATTCTATCAAAACATTGTGAGATAAAAGAATTATGACATGAGCTGCATTAAACTTGTTTCGGATGAGCTTTTTATTTAACTAAGGTAGTTATAATGTCTTACCAGAGTTCACTTATAACTTGTATGATCATATATGATTTTATCTACTATCGATGTTAATCGAACTTATATGGTTGCACACTAAAGAAGGAACAAAAATAATTATGGTTATTACTCTCAATAATAATTTAAAATAATTAGATTATTTTAAATTATATTATAAACAAATTATTTATTATCTGAATTTAAAAAAGTTAATTTCATATACTTTTGACCTAACATTTTATCTATTTATTTAATTTAAAAATATTATTTTTCTATAAATCTGGGATGAATGTATGTTAGTATTTATTTAAAGGCTTAATCATTTGATAACAAATATTATACGTGGGGCTCAAACTTGAAACTTCAACGGATAACAAAGTCCCTTTATCTTCTGTACCCAACTTCTGAAAGAGTGCAGCCGAAGAGGAAAATATAGAGACAGTTCCTGAGAGTGTCTTGTGCAAATTAGAGGCTTTCTCTGAAGAAGAGATAATGTCATGGCACAGGGAGAGGAGCTAGGGATTGCAGTAAGGAGTTGAGAATTGAAAATGAAAAAGGAATAGCTAAACACGTGCGGGAAAAAAAGGCATTGGATCAAAGAAAGATGGGCTCAAAATAGATATGGGCTGCACAACAAACCAGATAATTACAAGAGATAGACTAAGAACCAATGAGCAATGCATCATCAGCCAGCATTAACAACGGTGGAATCTATTCAGTTAACAAGGACGTCCAGCTGTCAGCAAAAAAAAAAATCATTAGTACAGGAGAATACCTAGGTTATATATGCACTGTAACCAACAATGGAAAAGCTTTATGAATGAATTATTTAAATTCTTTCTGAAAACCCAAATTCTCTCCAATTTCATGTGTAACTGGAAGAGTACAAAGGCAAACAGATGAAGGAAGCAGAACACCGGAAAATATGCGGTTAGCACCAACGCTCTTGTTTCGTGGTCTACTCAGATCATGGGTAGAAGTGATTGGTGAACCAAAGCCTCAGGAAAAGCCTAAAAGGCTTCACATTTAAAAAGAATGAGAAAAAGGTAGGAAAGTATAGCAAAAGAAAGACAAGTGTATCATATCAAGGACGGGAGCCTTTGCAGGGTTTCTTGGTTATGAAGTTAATTTAAAGAATGTCAAGTTGCAACTACAGTATAATGAGATATTATATTCTTTCACTGCGCATGTGTTAGCACAGTTACAATACTCCTCCAAGATAGCGTTGTAAGAGAAATTTAACAAAGGAGTTGTGTGTGTCATTGATATTATCATCTGCTGTTTCTAAACCTCTCTAGTTCTCCAAAACTGCTGAAACAACCTGGTGTTTCAAGGGAAACTTTAAACAACCTTAAACAAAGTATATTGGAACATGAAAATCGAAGCATATGAAAGATAAACAGATACAAGGTACTCTATAAATACTTATAAGATGCACTTAACACACACACGGGGCAAAGCTAAAACAAGATTATGATAGGTATTCTATAAATTCTTAAGTTTACTCGTGGTTATAAAGTGGCCTTTCATTGATTGTCATATTGTTCCCTGTTTGTAGGTAAAATGTCTTGGCATTAATAGTTTTTTTTTTATCCCGGTGTAAGAGTCTTAGATGGAGTAAGATTACTCATTTCAATAAGCCAAAGGTTCTAAATTAATTATATTTTCCTGTTTGGAGTCGATGCCTTTTAGTAGTGATTGCTTTAAAAAAGTGTAATCACTTGGAACTCCACATGAGATGTTTTTTGGACCACTTTTTTGTTCTTCTCCAACATAGTTTCTCACCTGAAGAGTGACATCAATCCATTTTAAACGTCATTCAAAGTAAGTTGTTCCTGTTTTGTAAAGGGAAAATCTTGGAACCTAGCTCCTGATTCTTATCTCAATTTGGTAATGAAATTTAATGGCACTGCACCAGCATCGCATTCCATACCACATAATGGTGCCAAGAGATAGAAATGCGTACAAAATATATTTAAACTGAAATATTAAGGGTCCAAAGAAAACTCACGTATTGAGTTTTCCTTCTTTATTCTTGAAGAGGTGGAAACCTAATATTAAGGACAAGTCATTATAGTCTTTGGACTTGATAAATTTTCCCAACATAGTCACTAAACTTTGTTTTGGTCCATACTAGTCCTTCTCATTTTAGTCTTTTTGATGATGTAGAGGCATACCTAAGACCCAATTGGGATTTACGTAGGAATTTATAGATTGTCCACCAAAAGTGATAGTGATAGGATTCGAACTTGATCTTATAAGCACAAATTCCTAAATCCCAACCACTTGCACCAATACTCGATGTGTCACATCATTAAAATGACTAAAAATGGGCAAAAAATTCTGAGTTCAAGGATCAATGTGGACCAAAAAAGAAGTTCACTGACCAAGTTGAAAATTCCAGAACGCTGACGGGATTTCAAATTCCTACTTAAAAGTGATTACAGAAACAAAAGTTGAAATAAACAATACCTGGAGATGGCAAATGGTGAGCCCTCCCATTTCTTGAGCTAAAAGACAATGTTAAATGTTTATTGTTTCTAGCCCAAAAAGAAGTTGGTCAAAGAAATATCCTTATTGATTTGTACACATGGAACTATCCTCATATTTATCTAAATGCTCTGACCACTTAAGATGCAGACATCCAAGTTTGACTTCTATACATTCCTCAGTGCATGCTTTGTTTTAAAGATGTGCATACTTTTAATGTTTCCATTGACCAAATAATTATTATCTGGAATCAGACAACATCATAAATATATTTGTTTCAAAGACAGATTGAGAAAGATCAGAAAATTGTCAAGTATTTTATAAACTAGGGATGCAAACTCTGTTTAAACATCAAAGGGGGTCAATAACTGTCTGATAATGAGGCTTTTAGGCCCTTAAGTCTTAAGTAGTGTCGACACCGTTTTTCGCTCGGGTGGGGAAAGACCGATACCGACTCTGGGAATTTTTTCTTTGAAAGGATTTATCGAAATGTGAGGAGTCACCACCAATCATTTAAGGTGTGATTGAGACACCATAAAACCGGGTGATTTTAATAAAACGTTTTATCTTTATCAAAATATCGAGTTTCGGGGTCTGCGAAAATCCAGAAATCAGGTTCAAGAGTCGGTTACGCGTAGGGAAGGATTAATACCCCACAAGCGCCCAAAAATTAGTACCTAGTTGATTACCCTATATTTAAAATCGGAAATTTTGAGTTCGATCTTTATTTAATTTGAAAATCATTATGGATGCAAAGTTGAAAAGGATATTCGATTATTAAGACCGATAGCATTCGCTCCCAAGCGTAAATGCGAGAGATAAGCTGTTGTGCCTATTAACCGAATATTGCATTGTTTTTAGAAAACCATGATGCAGTCTTTGAAAAGGATGTCGACCTATTTCAGGAATCA